CTAGATTTGGATCCATCTTGCCAAGTTATCCTGGATCCCATGAGCTTTACTTTCTTTATCAGTTACCCATGTGGGACCTTGTCAAAGGCTTTGCTGAAATCCTTACAAACTGCATCAACATTTCTCTCATCACTTGTCGAGAATGAAAATGGAACATTCTTTTGAGCAATTGAAGAGCAAAAAGCAGTACCATGAGATGTGGAGAAATGAGCAGAAGACCTCCCCTTGGACAGCAGACCTCACTACATCATAGGATTGGGTGCCTGAGAAGACAGCTGCTGCTAGAATGAATTGCCAGTGTGAATTTTACAAGATATATTCACCTGTTTTGTTATAGCATTTGAAGGATGAAGATGTGGAGGAGAGTTGTGTTACAGATAACTCGTAATTCTGGTCTCCCTGCTATAGGAAGGATGTTGCAAAACTAGAAAGGGTTCAGAAAATATTTACAAAGATATTGTCAAGGTTGGAAGGTTTGAGCTATAGGGAGAGGCTGAATAGGCTGGGACTATTTTCTCTGGAGTGTCAGAGGCTGAGGGGTGACCTTATAGAGGTTTATGAAATCATGAGGGGCATGGAGAGGGTAAATAGCCAAGGTCTTTTTCCCAGTGTGGGGAAGTCCAAAGCTAGAGGACATAAGTTTAAGGTGAGAGGGAAAAGATTTAAAAGGGACCTAAGGGGCAATGTTTTCACACAGAGGGTGGTGCGTGTGTGGAACAAACTGCCAGAGGAAATGGTGGAGGGTGATACAATTACAAGATTTAAGAGACATCTGGATGGGTATATGAATAGGAAGGGTTTAGAGGGAAATGGACCAAATACTGGCAAATGGGGCTAGATTAATTTAGGATATCTGGTTGGCATGGAGAAGTTGGACCAAAGGGTCTATTTCCATGCTGTACATCTCTACGACTCTCTGACTCTATAACCATTAGAAGTGAGTAATTACCTTGTGTCTCATATAAGATGTATGGTAGCACAGAGTTGAATACTCACTACATTAATATGTGGCCAACAAACCCAAAGAAGAGCATGATGATGTTTAAAATAGGCTGCTTAAATGCTGACGTGCATAATTACAAATATTCAAATTAATCTGAAGGCAGGTTCTCAGCTCATTGACTGCTGAGCTTCATCCTGAACTACTTACTTGAAGATTTTGTTGGTGGTTTGCCATCACCTTTCTCACTCAGGGGCTTGGCAAAGAGGCAGGTTCCATGTTATTGGCAATTTTCCGAAGCATACCCCATCTAAACTAACCAGCTCTCTACCTAATTTAAATGCCTCTCTTCTTCTCGCCTCTGTTGAAATTAGTGACTGTTTCTGGTATATAATGTCATGGGCATTTACAATTTTCTGCTACTTTGACAAACAGGATAATTTTTGTGGGCACATGAATTTGGATTGTGAACTCAACTAGGTAGACAGCCTCTCCTGTTACATAAAGGCATCTGTGGATATCACCTAAATGAGTGGCAGGGGAGAAAGTAGCACTGCAAAGGTTATTCACTGTACAGTTGAAATAATGAGGAAAGTGAGCTTTTTCATACTAGGTATATTGTCGACACTGAAGAGTTTGACAACCTGTCAATTTCTTTAGGCAACTCGTAATGAAGTGGCATCTATCTGTGAGAACAAGATTGGGCAGAATGGCAAGTGGTCAGAAGGCACAGATGGTGATTACCTGTGGGAGTATGAGGCAGATGTGTTACAATTATGAGGTTTATAAGATTATTGCATTTTGGAACTGTTTTAAATTTATGGTAAAATTAAGGGGTAATGCGATTTATTTTGAAGTCTACTAAATAGTAAGCCTTACTGGTTAGATTGTTGGCGATCAAAGGAAGACTTGTTTACTGCGAAGAAGGTGCACAGCATTTACATTTGGAGACAATGAACCCTCTGGGTTTACAATAGTAGATGCCAAGTCTCCCAAAATGTCAGAAATCTAACGTAGGCATTGGATTGTAAGCAGATGTGTTGTAAACTGACATGAAAGAGATTTGGGATCAAGCAGAACTAATTAGCATTTCTATCTGGATGAACTTTACATTTCACCTTGATAGAGAGAAGGTGCAAAGGAAGTAATTTTTGAGAACAGGTTACAGGCTTCTTTACCAATCAATTGTAGACTGTTTGCAAAAAGGATTGTAATTCCACGGACAGTGCATTGTGTGATAAATTTAAAAGTGGAATATTAAAGTGTACGTTGCCTACAAAAGAAGAATTTGGTATATATTGCTTTTAGTCATTTGTTACAATTATTTTCGAAACATGAAATCTTGCCATGTCATTCTTTCACCTAATAACTGGAAGTTATTGGTCATTTCATAGATTGCAACAGAGATTAATTTTTTAAACAGTCAGATTTCTATTCCTGCCAGTCATCTGTTAAGCTATTTCCAGTTGAAAGTGGCAGTGGCCACTTGGGTAGTTTTAAAAAGAGCCTGGAAGTCACGCTGGCATTTAAAGGTTGCCAGCAGCAATGCAACTCTTGGGTGAGTTGGGGCTCACGTTGCAAAATGTATTTCTGTGGGAGTCACCAGCTTCCCAACAGATTTGCCTGGTGATATTTCTGGGCACATGCAGGAGCTGGTTAAATTTCAAATGTGGCTCATTGCACCCTGATCTCCATTTATCAATAAAGCTTTCACCAAATTGCATGATTTTAAAGTTGCAAATTGGTGGGAAGGGAATGGACAATTGAGCTGCTCCAACTTAAATGCTTTCGCATTCCATTCCTCCAGTTTGGGGAGAGCTAAAGTTGGCCCAGCATCTCTCCTCCCCGACATTTTAACCAAAATATCCCAGTTGCATCTCTACCACTGTTTCTTCTGTCTTCTCAGTGCATATAAGTGGAACTTGGGATACTTACTGCTGTTGCAGGAATGTGTCACTACGAACGGCTGTGGACTTTTAAGATCAGCAAGCAACTGAGTTTCTATGTTATAGCTGCAAAATTGCTAATTCCAAGCCCTGATGAACTTCATCAAACATCAGTGTGGCCAGGAAACTGTTTTGTTCGCTGTGCAGCAGATGGCCTGCCCAATGTTATGCCTGGAGGTAAGAAAATGAATCTCAAATTGTTAAAGGTCAATATTCTAATTTTGCCAACATATGTACTAATGACTATATTGACTACATGTAAATGAATGAAATCTAAAGCTTTTCTTTCAATCCACCAATTAAACTGTTATGTAGACTTTTATTTACCAGTAGTTTTATTTTATTTATTTAGGCATGTTGTGCATTGTAAATTTCAACATTGTCAATTTGCAATGGTCAACATTAGGAAACACGTAGCATTATTTAATAAGAAGTAAACAGCAGTTAAAAAATTTACACATTCAGAAGATGCAACATGATAATAATTTGTCTGATTTTAAAGAATTCATGAAAGATATAAAGCTTTTGTTGTACATTCAGTGCTTTACAAATTGTTTATAGTTGTACAGAATTCTAGTTTTATAAACACCCTTGTGTTCTGTTAAGTAAATAAAAAACGCAATATATAAATGGCTTAAAATCTCCAGGATGTACTATTGCACGGCAATTAACCATGTAATGACAGGAAAATATTCCATATGGATATGGGGGCAACCTGGAGACAGTTGCTGTAAACAGTCCGAATGTTTTAAAATAAGCTGCAATAGATGCCTGCTACAAATATATGGGGATACAGGCTGTCTCTTATACAATCTGATGTTATATTCTTCACATTGATTTTTTTCAAGCAATTTTCATAACTTAAGATAAACCTCCGTGTATCTGGCAGTCTCTTTGAAGTCCAAATCAAGTTTGAAATTTAAGCTTAAAATTCACATGCTGTATTGACCAGTAAATCTGACTTGTTTCCTTCCAAGATGGAGTGGAATGAAGGATCATTTAAAATAATATCCTTCAGGGATGACTTGCCCAAAATGAAAATGTCCAATTTTGAAAAATGAAAGAATTTTTGATTTACAGGCAGTCACCGAGTTGCAAACAGGTTCTGTGCTTGAGTCCATTTGCAAGGGGATTTGAACGCAAGTCGGAATGCAAGGCAGGACTACATAAAATATCTGATGGTAAGTCCAGGAAACGTTTGTACAGTGGATCTTTAAAATTACACCCCTGTATGTTGTAGGTGCAAGCGTTTGTAAGTTGGGGCAATTAGGGATGGACAATAAATGCAGCCTAGCCAGCGACACCCTCATCCCCTGAATGAATGAATGAATGAATGATAAAAAAAATCTTCATTAAACAGCACGGTAAGAGTCATTTTAAGGAATGGCTAAACAGCCAGTACTATACATTGTTGATCGCTAAAGGTGGACAATCAGACTTTTATGGCCAGAAAAGGTTGCGGGAGGCTGCTCACCCATTGATGCTAATATATTCAGAGCTGTTCTGTGGCTTTTGCAAATAACAATTTCACCTAATTTAAAGATAACAGGAACTGCAGATGCTGGAGAATCTGAGATAACAAGGTGTAGAGCTGGATGAACACAGCAGGCCAAGTAGCATCAGAGGAGCAGGAAAGCTGACGTTTTGGGCCTAGACCCTTCTTCAGAAAAGAAGATTTTCTGAAGAAGGGTCTAGGCC